AAATTTGAAATGGTTTAAAATTTTGAATTTAAATATGGATGGTGGGAAAAGAATTTCTTTTAAAAATCGAATTTTAATTTTTAAATTGAATAATTAAATGACTGTTTGTGGTGACAGATATAAAAGAATAATTAATTAATAAATATAACTTTGAAATTCGAAATTTTAATTGGATAGTCAAGTGTTTTAATTGCTTTTTATGTTGGAATTGGTCGTCAGATCACAAATTCGAAATTTGAAATGGTTTAAAATTTTGAATTTAAATATGGATGGTGGGAAAAGAAATTCTTTTAAAAATCGAATTTTAATCTTTAAATCGAATAATTAAATGACCATTTGTGGTGGCAGACAAGACATTGAATGTCCCAATGCCCATCACATTGGTATCCAAAAAGAAATCAGCTAATTTAATTGCTTTTTATGTTGGAATGCGTCATCTGATCTAAAATTCGAAATTTGAAATGGTTAAAAATTTTGAATTTAAATATGGATGGTGGGAAAAAAATTTCTTTTAAAAATTGAATTTTAATTTTTTAAATCTAATAATTTAATGACCATTTGTGGTGGCAGACAAGGCATTGAATGTCCCACTACCCATCGATTGTGAGTATCGGTTGTGCATATTTCTTATTATATTGCTGTCAACATGACATTTATATTTTTTTAATGGAGATTTTGCTGTCACCCATGGAATTTACTGTGTTTAAATTATTATATTTTTTTTTTTGTTCCTACCTTAAAAGTTACACGTTTATGTCATACGAACAAACCGATTTTCTTATGAATTCGTTTACGGGACAAACAAATCGATTTTTTTTTCTTCATGCATCGCACGGGTAATCAACTAGTATATATATATGTGCAAGTCCGAATCTTAATCTCCTCAAAATGACATATATGATTTAATTCCCATTTATGGGAACAAAATATTTTTATCGCATTATCATTTTTATGCTTTTTTTTTTTCCCGGACCTCAATAAAAAATTTCTAAATTGAATGTCTAAATTGATTTAGGCTTATGAATTTTAATTTGCAACTCGGTAGACTTTATAGGTCATATTAGACTTTTCAATTTTTTATAATAGGTCAAATCATATTTTTAAATCAAGTTTTTAATAAGTTAATAAATTAATATAGCTTCTAAATATTTTACAAAAACTTAAACTATCAAGTCCAATTTAGTTTGGCCCATTTACACCTCTAAGTCTGTGCTCGTGTCTATAAAATTCATTCCCTTCTTCCTCAAACCTTCGCTCCTCGCTCTATAGTCTCTCCTCTTGATATCACAATGTTTTCCGACATAATGATGTGTTTCGACTTATTTTCGGACTTACTATTTCCCGACCCCGTGAAACCCTCTAACATGGTTGTCCCGGATGCTCTTCTTTATTACCGTTGCATTTCCTTTGCATAAATTGTTCATGTTATTGTTTCCAAACTCCTAACTCTTTTCTTTTCTCTATGGCAGACTTGTGCTTTGAAAGTGGACACTAGCTGTGCAGGATGGGAGCGAACTACGATCAAAATATTGGACAAAATCAAAGGTAAGTGTTGTTACTCATCTCTTATTATTATTATTAATATTATTATTGTTATTTTTCAATGAAATATTGAAATATTTATATTATGTTGATTTCAGGAGTAAGTTACGATTTGGATGCACGAAAAGGGATGATATACATTACGGGCAAAGTGGAACCACGAAAAATATTGAGAAAGGTGGCCACACGAAAAAACAACATAAGGCTTAGGTGGATAAGGACCGAGGATCAATTAAATAGTGGCAATAATAATGGAATGGGTTATTCCATGCCTATGCATCCCTCTGCGACCTACCCATATATGGAGCCACCATATCACTCAGGATTCTACCCTCCTCCTTATCCTCAAATGCCCTACCACCACCAATACCATAGCTATGAACCTTACCCTCCACGGATTCCCTACTACTACTGATTCAAAAAAACAGCATCACTCGAGCAGTATCAGTATTAGTATTACTGTTGGTGTTTTGTTTTGGTCCTCTAGTGTTAGTTCTTAATGCTATCAAAAAATCGCATAATGTTTTGATTCTGTTATGATTACTGGATCCTTTTTTTTTTTGTAAGGTTCGTAATTTTCATTTTGATTATTATCGGGCGATTTTATTTAGTTTTCAATTGGTTAGTAGAGTTATGTACGTCTTTTATTATCTATGGTCGTGCAAATCAAGGTCGTGCTACTTGGTGGTTTATGTGATATCATTTTCTTACATTATTTTCTCTTGCATGTTTCTCCCTTTCCGGCAAGTCAAAATACTCGTTACTAAATATATTTGGATAATTTATACTAGGTTATAGGGGGATTCACTTATCACCAAAAAATTTACAATTCTTACATTCAATTTAATCACCGTTGATTTCTGTCAATATAATAGTTATAATTTATTGAGAATTAATAAATATGACACAATAAATGTTATTAATTTTCAATAAATTATAACCGTTAAATTGATCGAATTTAACGGTGATTAAATTAATTGCAAGAGTTGTATACTTTTTTGGTGGTAAGTGAATGATTTCCCTAAGATATATGATAGAGTTATGGGACTTTATTTGTGATTGATTGTAGAAATCACATCCTATGTGGGATATCTTATTTTGACTTATGTCAACAATATCTGATTTTGATTGTAACAGATTGTGGAAATCACATATCATATTAAGGATATATGATTATGCAGATATCGTTTCGTATGTTGTACATACCTTTTATTTTATTTGGCAAAAAAATTAAAATATTATATTTTTAATAATTAATTACGAATAGGTAGCAGTTTAAAAATTATATTCGAATTTATTGCACTCATTCACGCTCAAATTAGGCGTGACTATTCACGCCCAAATTAGGCGTGACTATTCACGCCCAAATTAGGCGTGACTCTCAAGGCATTCACGCCATCTGGTGTTGACACATGGCAAAAAAAAGTCAACTTACGAACCGTAAAACTTTGAAAAGTCATAACTTTTGACTCGGGTATCCGAATGAGGTAATTCTTTTTTTGATTCTACATAAATTTTCGAGATCTACGCAATGACATCTCATTTAATATATTTTATCTCTCACAAACACAATTCAAATTTGCAATATTTGTATTATATAGTGTATTACCAAAAAAAAATTTAAAAATTATTATTAAGGAGAAAAAGAAAATAAATATTTAATTTGTGATTTAAACTCAAAAATCAATTTGAAAAATCTGTATTAATAAAGAAAATAATTAAATAAATATTCTAAACACTTGTTTTTTAATAAATAATTACGAATAAGTTGCCGTTTTGAACCTAATTACGAATATATTGCACTCATTCACGCCCAATAATGGTACTATAACATTAAATTCAAATAACCTCCAATAAGTTGATTGCATTTTGTGTTTAATAGGAGTTGATTGCGTTTTGTATTTAATAGGAGCTGATTGCGTTGTAATTTTATGATTTGGTTACAGATTGTCTCCAATTCAAATAAATTTGCTGGTGGTATTTTGAATTTAATGTTATAGGAGTTGATTGCGTTTTGTATTTAATAGGAGCTGATTGCGTTTTGTATTTAATAAGAAATTTGATGCCATCTTATTTATAGATGAGTTAATCCAGTTTGGTGTCATCTTTATAGTATCATTGTTGTAAATTTGAATTGTGTTTGTGAGAGATAAAATATATCAAATGAGATGTCATTGCGTAGATCTCAAAAAGTTACATAGAATCAAAAAAAGAATTACCTCATTCGGATACCCGAGTCAAAAGTTATGGCCTTATAAAGTTTTACGGTTAAATTTTTAATTTTTTGTGCCACGTGTCATCACCAGACGAGTTCACGCCTAATTTAGGCGTGAACTCCTTGGGAGTCACGCCTAGCTTAGGCGTGAATAGTCACGCCTAATTTGGACATAAATAACTGCAATAAATTCGAATATAGTTTCTAAATTACTACCTATTCGTAATTAATTATTAAAAGTATAATATTTTAATTTTTTTTGCTACTTTTATTTGGCAACTCATATGTCATTTTGTTGAGTGATGAAATATATACCATATTCTCATAAGATACGTATAAGATGATGATAATGTCACAAATTCTTCCTACGAACAAGTTGCCACAAGAATAGCTCGCTTCTTTTTTTTTTCCCCTCAACCTTTGACACACCAAATAATAAAGTAGATGAACTAAAAAAAACACTGTTACTCTCTGTTTAGATTTGTGTGCACAAAAATATTCACCGCATGTTTCGATTTTTTTTTAAGCTAAAAATTACTTATAAGTATAAGTTAGACTAAACAAATTTTGAAAAAAAATTCTTCTAATAATTTATTTTTATAATGAATAAAAAAGCAAAAAGCAAAAAGCTCATTTAAGGAGCTTTTTATTAAGCTCTTATTTGCTTTTCTTGAATTATGTTTTTTTTAAACAAAGAGTTATAAAGATAGAGAGAAAGAGATAATTTTATTAAAATATATGCTTTTAAGTTAAAAAATTTATGTAATTACTAAACAACATTTAATTTTTTTCTAAGCTTTTTATTTAGTTTTAGCTTAAAAAAACTGAGAAAATTTTCTTAAAATATGTGTTTTTAAGTTAAAAAATTTATACAATTTCCAAACAATTTTTTTTTCTAAGCTTTTTATTTAGTTTTAGCTTAAAAAATGGGTTTTATTAATCTCATATTAAAGGAGATATTTATCTCATATCATAGAAACAAACTAGTGGACTCCATTACCTGAAAAAAAATGATAATTATTGAAAGGTGTGTAAAAAAAAAATTATGTCATGTGACGTAAGAATAATTTTTCCTTAAAAAAAAATAGAGATTCAACCAGACTTTATTACGAAACAGTTTTTTTTTTTTTTTTTTTTTTTCTTTTGAAATATTACAACAGTGTAGTAACAGCGAAATGACACAGACCTTTTATTTAGTCGTGTCTCTACTGTGCTCCATATTTTGGTATTTCTGAAACCGAGTGAAGTGACTGTGATGGCGAGTCGTTTCTTCACAAGAAAATGGAAAATCCGTGATTTGGCTTCGGTATTCATGGGAGAGTTTATGAGAACTTCCATTCCCAATCCCATGAAAACATCATTGCCTTTCAGACCCTTTGTTGTTGCAGTGTTGGAATTCGATTCGTCCAAAACGGTGTCGGGTTTGAGGCAATACCATGACGGAAGGCCAAGAGGGCCACTTTGGAGGGGAAAGAAGCTCATTGGCAAAGAAGCTCTCTTTGTTATTTCGGGTTTGAAGAGGTTTAAGGATGACGAAGATAAGCTTCACAAATTCATCAAAACCCATGTCCTCAGGCTCTTGAAGATGGACTTGATTGCTGTTCTCACTGAACTTGAACGCCAAGAGCATGTTTCTCTCGCTCTCATGGTTTATTCTCATTCTCACTCTTTTTATTTCTTTTACCCTTTTATTCTTATGTTAGTTGCACGTAACCTGTTTGTTATAATGCTTCTTAGTCACAACCTGTTTGTTATAATGATTCAATACAAGCTTTGCTTTGAGAATGTTGTTAGAGTGATTGGTAGATTTTTCTTCTTCTTTTGAGTATGCCCTTTTGTCTTTGATTGTGGTGACTGTTGTATCTATATTTGTAATATTGGGCTTCCAAGTAACTTAATGAATTTCAGGTGTTTAAGGTGATGCAAAAGCAAAATTGGTATGAGCCTGATGCATTCCTGTATAAGGACTTAATTATTGCATTGGCAAGGTCTAAAAAAATGGATGAAGTATTGGAATTGTGGGAAAGCATGAGAAAGGAAAATCTGTTCCCTGATTCTCAGACTTATACTGAAGTCATAAGGGGCTTCTTGAGTTATGGATCTCCTGCAGATGCGATGAACATATTTGAGGACATGAAGAATTCTCCGGATCCACCAGAGGAGTTGCCGTTCAGAATTTTGTTGAAAGGACTCCTGCCACATCCTCTTTTGAGAAACAAAGTGAAGCAAGATTTCGAGGAGCTCTTTCCTGATTCAAGTATCTATGATCCACCACAAGAGATATTTGGCATACGCTGAGGTTTGAACCTTTTCTCCCTTGCCCCCGCCACTCTGTTATCCGGTGTTCAAAAGTTTGCTTTTAAATAAACTCTGTTGTTTGTTCTTGGTACTCATGAACACATTTATGTACAAAGTACAATGTTAATGAACCTAATATAGTGGTTCCTCTAGAATTACAAGTTCTTGAATAAACTTGATACACATGAGGGGTTCAATAGGTTCTAAGTTGATATAATCAGATAGTCAAATTTTTCTATCATAAAGATGAACAGATAGTCAACTTTGATACTTCTAGGCTGGCTTATTGAATGGAAAATATATGGAGAAAGTCAACAATGAAGAATAAGTTTTTGGTATAATATCTGAAACTTATTAACTTATTGTTTCTGTCATTAGAAAATAGAAATATGACAATGTCATTCTTCAAGACCGTTGAGTTAAATTTCCTTAAGTTCCACTTATCATCCTCTGAAATGTTATGTGGTCATATTGGAGTCACGCATATCACCTTCCTACTTCTGTTTTCTGGATCATGTATGTTACCAAATACCACCTTTAAGTATGAAACTGGTTTTAATAAAGATAAAAGGCTTCAATCATTAGTCTTTTTTTTTCTTTTGTATGTAAAAGAGTTACCCAATAATTTTGCATCCTTTACATCTTCGCCTGGTCTGATACCTCACCAGGTCAAATATCAAGGTAGTAATGCCTATGGAAATTCTATTAACTTCTTTTGTTAATTTGTATAAGTAGTAGCTCCCGGGCGCCATGATGCATTCTGAAAGGAGCTGAATTGGGAAACCACTATGGAAGTAGGAGTTGAGGATTGAAGCTGTGGTCATTGCTTCTTGTTGGGCTTTGAGTGCGTTGCCTGGTTCTGTGCTGGTTAGTTAGTGGTCATGTTTACATGAACTATTCACTAGTTGAGAGCCCTCACTCAAGGAAGATAAGTTTTGGGTGTGGAAACTGATTGAGCTTCACTCAGTTTGAAAGATCTAGATGCTCTTTTGCAGTTTCCTTGTCAATATCAGCAATGTACAAATTGTCATCTTATGATAGATATTACCTTAACGAAGGTGTGGAATGGGGGAGTTGCTATTGTAACCTTATACACGTACACATTTTATCTTACAAACATTTTTCAGCTATTGGTTTTACAAAAAAAAATGTGTGACAACTCACATCGAGTAATGGTACCTATGAAAAAAAAGATTTGTACCGGAGTAATCTTGGTGAAATAGTTGAAAACTAAATGCAACTCATTTCAGTCTGATTCTCAAAATTTTACCTCTCCTCCCATAATATAAAAGCAAGTTGTGCGTGTGTGTATTTATTTTTTATTTTTTTGGTGTCTTAATCTACATTTTATCCTAATTGAATATCTAATCTTATCCATCTTACTTTACTTCTGTTTCCCTTTAAAATTTTCACCTTTGCCCACCGAGCATAATTTTGACAACCGCTTGTGTAGGCATGGGTAATAGATTTTGCTGAAATTTTGTGCTTTTATAATGCATGGTTACTCTTAATCCGGTATGGTTATGCATTTGGTACGCTTGTCTTTTTTATTCTAAAGATTAACCAGGGATTATATTGAGTGTTGACATAAAGGGTTCCTTATGCTTTGCACTTGATGTCCAAAGAAATCACTCATAAGCGACCACCATCTTGGCGGCAGTGAACAATTGCAAATGACTTGTCTGAGTAACCTTGCCTTGTTTAGAGAACTCTCCCATTGTTGAAAACTGAAAATGAATAACTCGTATAAATGCCAACCAAGAATATTATTTTCACACTTAAAATCATACACCTATCCCTAACGCCTTCCACTTTGAAAAACAAGTTCAAACTAACCTTGCTTTCCTCTTTCTTATAAAACGGTGAGCTCAGCTTGATTAAGTGGCCCCAAAACCAGTACATTTGACTCAGTATCTTGCAGCCCAAGGACCGTTTCCACTGGCCAGAACCATGTTACTCTCTTGGAATGTGCTGTTTTGTGCAATTATCTGTTTCGAAGCTTCAAACATTAATGGGTGTCCTTGGTCCTTCATCAAATTCCAAGCCGGTCCTATCATCAATAATTTAGAATCTGGAATGCCATGCTTGTGCTTGAATTCATTTCCCCTGGAAATATCTTGATTGAATACCTTTTGATCCACACTATTAAGACTAACATGGATACTTTCTTCTGGAATCATGTTTCATGTAGACTCTTTGTAGCATATCCAGCATGATCATTAGTAGCAACACGACGTTCATAATTTGGGCAGAACTTTACCTCTACAACAACCTTCGTAGCTCTTTCAGTCAATGCATCTTGCCTTCGGTTCTTGGGAGCTTCTTAGAAATTCTTGAATGATGTCAGAATAAATGGTTTTGTATAAAATCCCATTGCAAGTCGCAACCAAATTAATAAAATAAGCTATTATAGAGTATAATACCCAAGCCCACCACTTCCAGTAAGAACTTGAACAGCAATTTTACTTCACAAAAAGTAATTAATATTAATTCTGCTTGCTGCAGATACCATACTTCCCTACCAAAACAATTGCTTCTGCAGGCTTCTATATGATCATAATATTCATTAAAAAAAAAATATCATATTTATATTCAATAAAACAAATTGAATTGAACCTGGTCTCTTCTTTCAACCTCTACTATCCTTGATTCTTTATTTGTTGACTCATTAAACATAATTAAATTATCATTTTTTTAAATTAACTGTGGAAAAACATTAACTAACGAGTAAATGCATAGAGCACGAGAATAACATAGATAAGCAGTGCAGTGGGAACAAGAATAAGCATAGGAGTTATGGCAGCCAAAGTATAATAACTCCCACAAGCCAAAGTTCCCAACTTTATCTGCACCAAATCCACCAAAGCCATTACCAAAAACCCACATCCGAAAACCGATCCAAAAGCCGAAACCAGAGTCCCCACCCTCAAAGCCACCATGTTTACTTCCCCAACCAAGCTGAAACCATGCACCGCACCCAGACCTTCAGCTTCGAAGACGCCGCTGCTGATGTTGATGACGTTTTTGAGAGCCAAGGCGATGAGGCTAGAGAAGAGGAAGCAGCTAAATGAGTACACGTGGAACGCCATGAGACCTTCAGAAACGGAGGTTCCGGCGACGCAGGCGGCGTCGCTGCCGGTGAGGATGTTGTTTGTGTTGGTGGTTGTTATGCCGAGGAAGAGTGCTAACGTGAAGAGTGAATTCACGTTCACGATGCCGTCTAAGGCCATTATGTGAATGTTGGTGGTGGTTATTTTGCGGCGTGACACGTCAGACATTTCCGGTGAGACGGCGGTGGTGGAAGGTAAAGAAGGAGTATATTGCATACTATATTTAATTATTTCATTGCCAATAATAACTGAATGTGATTCTGTTTCAGCATCTGCATTGCTTGCAAGCAAGGATTGCGTAGAAGCTTACATTTGGATAGAGTTAACTTGTTTCCTTCTAAAAATGAAGAAATGATGATGATGCTAAGAAAATTCCAAAAATTATAAACGCCGTTGCCGGGGATCGAACCCGGGTCGTCCGCGTGACAGGCGGAAATACTCACCACTATACTACAACGACTGTTGCATGTAGCGGCTTATATTTAATTATAAATCATAGAAGCAAATAGAATACAGTGCTAAGTTTTTTTTTACTCTTCAAAGCAGTTTTTCATTTGATTTTTTTTAAAAAAAAAAAATGAAATAGAGCTTTAGCCTTTAGGTATAAAAGCCTCCCGCGGGGACTACGATTATTCATGGGTTATAAGGGTTCGAGATAAATAATTTTTAATTGAATAACTATCTATCAAAATATATCGTGGAATTAAAACTTTGTATAAGCATCATGTTTATAAAATATTATTATTTGACATATTTTTGAAAGGATTCAACTAGTTGATCTATAAATTATTAGTTTAAAAAAAAAATTAGCTGCCTTGATTACTTTGATCATGTTAAGAAATGACATGGTCTACGTAGCACCGATTCTGACACGTTAATTTTAAAAATGTTAAATTTCAACACGTTAGGACACGTTTTGATATTAAATAATATTTTTAATTTATGTAGTGAATATTATATTTAATATTCAATAATTTAGCAAAAAAATAAAACTAAACTTATAATATTAATCAATTTTGCAAAGAAACATAATATATCGCAAATTTTATATTAAACTTAATAAAATGGTAATCGTAATCCAACAAATCTAATAGTTGGAACTAAAAACTCAACGATACGCAGCCTTTGAACCTTTTTTGAATTTCTATAATGTGTGTTAGAGTGTTAGGGAGTGTCGGAGTGTCGAAGAGTGTCGGGAAGTGTCGGACATGACACGTCAGAGTTTTTGAAGTGTCGGTGCTTCATAGGACATGGTAATAATATGCTATTTTACATGAAAATACTACCACGCCACAAACCATTAGGGATATTCGCAATCTCGATTGGATCGATTTTGGAAGCAAAAATCATCCAATCCAATTCCTTCGGTTTGATCATGTAATCATCCATTCGGATTGAATTTTTTTGAAATTCGATCCGATCTAATCCAAATTTTTTTCGATTTGGATTGGATCAGTTTTCGATTTTTTGAAAAGCCTAAAATTTATTTGTTGACTATTGTAAAAATAACATATTTTTGTAATACAAAAGCATTATTGAGCGATAATTACTTGTTTCTTGCATTTCTTTCTCATCTTTCGGCTTTACAATAATTTTTCTTTACAATAATCCAAAAAAACTGTATAGGGCATACATCTTCAGTGGCTTACGAACACAGGTTTTAATAAAAGCTATGTATTTCTTTACAATAATCCAAATAACATATAAACTTCATGTTGCTTGACTCCACCAGTCTCAATTTGAAAGCCTAACAGAAAACGCCCATTAGTGAGGGCTTAGATGCATTATAGTGAACTAGTATAATATATCAAACTAATGGAAGCCGAGAAATATCAACATTTATGAAGAAAATCAAGTGCATTTTTAGATTTTCAAAAACAATCTTTCACAGTTTAAGCAACAAAACTCTAACTTTAAGTTCAAGCCTAACTCAGATTCCAAGGCCCTCAGTCTCATGAAACCAAATTGGACATTCAAACAATCCCAACTAGTACAATTAGGAAGCTAATTTAGTTACTTCCACGGGATCCAAGCACCTCAATCATAAAGGCCACTGATTGAATATGTGTATGTGTATGTGTATGTAATAATTTCACCAAACGGGAAAATAAGTGCATAATACTAAAAAAATAAAACCTTTGCATAGAGGAGTAAACAATGAAAACAGATTCAGATGAAGAGCAAAATAATTCAACAGGGAGTAAGATATAATTTGCAATAATAAATTCCATTCAGCAACAATTTCTGAAAATTCCAAACGTGAAATTAAAAAAGAAAAAGGAGAAAAAAATATGGGACATAAAAAAGTTTAAACAAAAACATAAAAGGGATTCTAAAACAAGGCCAGATTCCAGACGCGTTCACGAGAAGGGATTAAAGCAACCAGAAAAAAGTTTACTACTGATTTTGATAGATCAACACTTCCTCTTTTCGAGGGAGAGGCACCTTCTAAACCAAAAAGGTTTCACAATAATTTTCTGATACTTTCATTCACAGTACTTCCACGTTTTATACAAGCATCAGCCAATTGTAACATAAAAGAAAAACTAACAGAAAGATAAAATGCAACATAATGCATACAACATCAGCAAAATCTCATAAATGAATCTACCCAAAATAACCAACCATGTGACTCTATTTTCCCTCCACTCACAACACGCAGTTGATACTCACACATAATCATTCATCCACTATTTCCCCTCCATTCACAACATGCAGCTGATACTCACACATAATCATTTATCCACTTAGGTTGGGCCTTATTCCTTTTGGACCACCTAGTTCTTGGGCTAAACTGATAGTCCACTTGTTGATCCTCTAGCCCGATATTATCAGCCTCACTATCCACTTTTGGTTGAACCTGTTCTAAAATGGCTTTTGTATCATTCTCTTGCCTATGAAGAAACACCTTGTCCTCAAGGTGGAGGTCAAGATAGACTTTTAGGACATCAGACAGGGTCTCCCAGGATGAATCTTCCGGGTACAAACCCGCCCATTGAATTAAAACGCGTTCTTGCATAGGATCATCCGAAGGGACCACATCCAAAATTGCCATAGGTTGGACCACAGGCTGGTTCAAATGAGATGTGGTTGGTAATGGTAGGGGTTTGTTATCAGTTCTTGGATAAAATGGCTTAAGAAGGGATGCATGGAAAACCGGATGGATCTTGGAATCCTTAGGTAAATCAAATTCAAAGGTCACCTCCCCAATGCACTTAATGATGGAGAAAGGTCCATAATACTTCTTTGTAAGCTTGTTATTCTTACGGTGAGCTAGAGACTGCTGTCGATACAGGCGAAGTCTGACAAGAACTAAGTCACCCAACTTGAAAGCATGATCCTGGTGGTGTTTATCAGCAATGTTTTTCATACCCTGTTGACTTTTCAGCAATTTACTTTTCAAACGTGCCAAAATTTTCTCACGATTGTTTAATTCTGTATCCACAGCTTCAATGGTGCTAGTTCCCGCAACATAATGGGAAATATTGGGGGCAACGCGACCATAGACCACTTGAAAATGGGTGAAGTCAGTGGCTGAATGGACAGACGTGTTGTAACATCACTCTGCCCAATGCAAGTAGCGTCCCCATTGTTTAGGCTGTTCATGGACAAATGCCCGAAGATATTGCTGTAGTGTGCGATTAGTGACTTCTGTTTGTTTGTCACTCTGGGGATGGTATACAATGGTCATGCGTAGTTTGGTGCCACTCAGTTTGAACAATTCACACCAAAACCTGCTCATTAAAATAGGATCTCTATCAGAGATAATACTTTTGGGCATCCCATAATGGCAACAAATCATCTTGGTAAATAATTCAGCAACAATCACAACGGTGAAATGGGTGTTAAGCATGCCAAAATGGGCTGCCTTGGATAAACGGTCCACCACTACCAGAACAACGAAATTATTTTGGAATGAAGGCATCCCAATGATAAAATCCATTATGATGTCCTCCCAGACCTGTGTGGGGATAGGAATTGGTTGCAATAATCTTAGAGGTCGAGAAGTAGGTGACTTGATTTGCTGACAGATAATACAATCTTGTACAAATTTGGCCACATCTTTTTGCATTCTATTCCAGAAAAAACTTGAATTTAGTCGTGCAAATGTTTTGCTGACCCTCATGTGCCCTCCAATTGGAGAGCCACGAAATTCTTCCAACAGAAGTTGCTTGAGTGCTGAATTAGGTCCCACAAAAATTCACCCTTAGTAAAAAAGCAAATCCTGCACTATGAAAAAATTAGGATGGGACATAGGATCTACATTTAATTCCTGCCATAACTTACTCAGCTCCGGGTCAGAAGAGTACTCCTCCTTCAGTTTAGATAAAAATTCAAATTGAGGAACGGTTAGAGCCATAACATGTGGTGTAGACTCATGCATCCTAGATAATGCATCTGCGACCTTGTTGTCAGGACCAGGTTTGTAAACTATATCGTAATCATACCCCAGCAACTTGGCAAGATAGTACTGTTGATTAGGCGTCTGTATTACCTGAGTCATAACCTTCCTGACTGCCTCAACAATCGCATGAAGTTCTCTGTCATAAGTAGAAGACGCTTGGAGTTTCCCGCTAAACTTGCTAAAAAAGCATATTGAGTGGCCATGTTGCAAAAGGACTGAACCCATTCCATCCCCAGACACATCTGTTTCTATGGTGAATGAAGCTGAGAAATCAGGAAGGGCTAACATAGGGGATTGTGTCATGGCCTTCTTTAATTCCCCGAACGCTTGTTGGGTTGGATTCGACCATATAAACCCATCCTTTTTTAATAAGTCTGTCAGAGGGGCAGCTATTGAAGCATAACCTTTGACAAAGCAACGATAAAAACGCGTCAAACCCAGGAAACCACCTAGATGCTTAACAGATACAGGCACCGACCAGGCCAGCATTACTCTGATTTTCTCCGGATCAGGGCCAACACCTTGAGCCGAGATGATGTGCCCCTGATATTCAAGTGTGGCTTAGGCAAACGAACACTTGGAGTGCTTAAAAAAAATTGGTTACAGAGTAATTTCGTGAACGTCTCTTCCAGATGGTGGATGATGCGTAAAATCGACAAGTGCACCGATCGTACCAAGTAATAAAGAGTGAGTAGAGTATCGTCTCCACGAGGATTGAGGCACCTAAGTTGTTATAACTATTCCTCTCTTGTTGGATTAATCAAAATAGGTTGAGAATGATTGTAGTTCATGAAACAAACTAAAATAATTA